TAATACGTATTAATGTACCAGTTCACATACGTATTGTAAAAATGTCTTTGGCGGAATATATTTCATGTGTTGTTCTACTAGTTGATAGAATTTAGAACGTTTGTCTGATGAAGCTGAACCTAGTGTCTGTTGACGATGTAACCCTACATCCTAAAAGCGATCTCAGTTCGAATCCGAAATTGTCTATATCCTAGATGAATTCATATATATATTTATTCTTCAAGTCTATACACAAACCATTTTAAATATTGATGTTAAAAATTAAAATTGATATAAATATTCTACGCCATTCATCGTTTCCTCGATGTTACAATTTTGCGCTATATATTACAACATGTTTCGATGACTCAGCATCATCTTCAGGTTTTTATTTTTAAAACTATTCTATATTTTTTAATGCACGGTTTTCATTAATTGTAAATTGTAGGTTATTGTTGTGGGTGTTCCTTTGATCTTCTGATTCTTTTGCATATTATGTGGCGTATTATGTTATTTGTTCATTATTCTGTGAAATTATCAACAATATAATTAACATTATTAATATTATTAATATTATTAATTGAAGAATAAATATATATATATGAATTGTAAACACAAACATGACGCATCTAAACTATAAATCCTAGATGAAATTCCAAGAACTTTCGTTTGACATGATTAAACCTGGCAGCTGTGTTTAAATTCCGTCATCAGGTGTAGAAATTTAAGTCTTGTAGTTATTCTTACAGAAGAAAGGAAATGGACCTCAGTCATCACTTTACACGACGAACCTTAGTGTAATTATGTTTTGTTGTGTGGTTCAGACGGAACTCAGGGCATTTCGGACACTACATTAAAGCGCTAACAGTTATACTAACTATTAAAAATATATTAAAATTGGCCGTCAATCACAATATAAGATAGTTAAAAGATTAAAATATCATTTTACGTTCCTTATCGAGTACTCGATTTACATGTGGAACATTTACGACATGTTTCGGCTATATATAGCCGTCATCAGGTGTTATATTATAAACTTTTTAACTGAATTACTGATTTTTACTGATATTTAATGATTTTTAGTTTTTAGCCGAAACATGTCGTAAATGTTCCACGTGTAAATCGAGTACTCGATAAGGAACGTAAAATGATATTTTAATCTTTTAATTATCTTATATTGTGCAATATCTTAGTTATACTAACATTAAAATTAGAAATGTAATAAAAATCCGCCTAAAGTCGGGAATAGAGTGAACTTGTCGTGCATGACAAATATGCCCCAGACAGTGGGTAGTGTCCAAAACAATGTTAGTATAACAATTATTCAATCCAGTGGGCAATTTTCATGTTAATGCAGTTTGGATATTTTGTGTTTTTGAAATCTATTTTTTTTTTAGTTTCTTTTAAACACTCGTTTTGCGTGTGTTCCAAACCATACACATGTAATGTTGTTAGGTACAAACTCACTCTCGCTCTTGCGACATATCCAGTTAAAAGATTTGACATTCGTGTAAACAATAGGAAGCGGGTATTTGCATTTTTTCCGCTATCAATTCCCATTAAGCTGATGATGTGTTTTGTATTAAACTGCGGAACGAAGAGATAATTAACCGATGCTCTCAATCAATTTTACTTCACTTATCTCGTCCAGAACACAGATAAATGAAAGCGCATCGCTGTGTCGTTCCAGGTCACAAACTATATTTACTTTGGAATAAAAATCTGAGTTTTTGTAGGCTATGCAAACGCGTGGAAGTTCTGTCGTCAGTCACTCCGGAGATTTTAACTTCGTCCTTTGACGTGTAATTTATGTCGAAGATAGATGGTGACAACTTGTTATGAAGGGTCAGGAGAAACAACGAAGTTAAAATAGGCTAGACGCCAGGATTTAAGGTTTAGAGCAGGGGATTCAAATGTCCTTGGGTGTGAGTGATGTTATAATTATGCCAAATCTATATTCACTCTCTGCGTTGTACAATGAAAGCAACGAGAAAAAAATCCAAGGATTTTTACGTGAGTTAAATATATTAATTGTACATTTCTTGAATATTTTAAATAAACTTCCTGGCTTTATTTGGATAATACACAGTTTGAGTCTTGATCGCGAAAATCATACAGACGTGCCTTATGACACGATAGGGCCATTTCCTTCCCAATATTTTTGGCTTCATTATTAAAGACCTTCTCATTTGTCTTTTGACGATAAATAATTTCTATGTTACGATGATGTTAAATAATGTACTAACCTCGGAACTTAATCTCATAAATTTTGAAGTATAGCCACACGTTAGCTTTCCTGATACTTTATATTTCAGTGACAGAAACAGATATTGTTGACTCATATTTTCGTGATTTTTCTTAGTGTATCTCAGAAACTTTCGGGGTAAGAGTTCAAAGCGTAAATGATGGCCCCGTCCTAAAATCATTAAGTACTCCATAAACTGTATAATTTTAAGATATTTTAAAGCTTTGATGGACTTCTACACTC